ACCCATGAACTTAACCCTAGACGTAGAACAAATCCTAACCTTAATCTTACCACAAACCCTAACGTCAAGTTCCTTTAGATCACTGAAACTGACCTACTCCCCAAAACTTCCACCAAGCAGCCTTTATCCTAGGCATGAGAATAAGTATTAATTTAACCCTTAAGTTAAGCATAAACCTGAAACGGCTCCCAAAAAACCTAGAGGCAAGCCATAAATGTTACCCTCAAACTAACCGCAGCTCACAAACATCAGAACGAGACAAAAAAGCCAAACGTTAACCGCCTACTGGAATCAAAAACAGTATGAAGATAATTACACGTCAACGAACCCGGACAGCCTAATAGAGCTCTATCAACAGATGTCATATAGGGCTCATAACCTTTTGTATAGGATCGTGCTTTTGTTGTCCAATACACAGGCACCACTAATAAAGATGCCGATGCGATGCTGTATGAATAGACACAATTTTAAACCTTTGAAGGCCGGAAGATACTCTTCCTGTAAGCGAAAAAGTTAAAAAACCGTAATTTGCTACCGAATAAGTACGAGAATAAAAAATGAGAAAACTTCACACTACTCGCATAATCATTTTTGAATAGTGTAGTTTCCGCAGACTGGCCGAAAGAGCTTGTTCAAAAGCCGGTATCCTGATATGCCTGATATGTATGGCCATTAATGCTGTAACCCTACTTGGGTTATCTTTCGAAATCGAAAAAACGTTTCAGAATTTTGGATAACATTTCATGAGGTAGCAAATCCACTGTACACTGCACCAGTATATGGGTGTTGTTTCATTCTATGAGTAACGATCGCATAATGCTTGGTGAAATCTCTCCTTGAATGTTCAGATGATTTTCAACAGTGGCCTGAGATCTGCGGTTGCTTAACTAGCGAGACAAATCTCTGCGACGCAGAGGATGGGTGATGTGCGACCTATGAATCGTGTTCTGTAGTTCAAGCACTTAGAGCACTTTTAACTTCAGCCCACGAAACAGGTAGAATCCGTTTGACAAAGTATGATTCGGTCACCTGCAAACTTCCCTCTGTTGCTTTACATAAATCACGGGCTTGTAGATGTTGTTTCATTCAGTGCATAATGTGGCGGGTATACAACTCTCTCTCTCTCTACGGCAAATGTTGTTGATTTCACCTAGTAATCGACATATTTTATGAGACTTGCACATGGCCTGTCAATATCCGATCATGTAAAGAATTCGCTCAGTGCGACGGATCCTACACTGTCACTCAAATGCGGACATAACCAATTTATCGTCTGGATAGCAGTTTTATGCCAGAAGCCTCCTTTAAGGACACTGGGCGTGGCGATCGATTTTGGCGTATGAATTGAAAAGCCCCGTCTCCAAGTCGAAAGAACCTACGTGTGTTAGCTGCACGTTGTCGGTGTAAGAACACCCTATATAAGAGGTTGAAAAAACGAACGACTACCGTCCTACTGCCTGTTACGTGCTTTCCAAGCTGTTTTTGTGGGTTCAAAAAGACTATGTTTGTGGACTTCAGCTGAACATAAGAGATTTCCTAATGATTCCTGCCTCCCGTCATCACTAATGTAAACTTGTCAGACTGAATAAACAGCGTTAAGCCAATTAATTATAAAGGCCCTTTTCCGATCAGGTGTTTCAGCGCATACATCGGTGAATGATTTAAAATTATTTCTACGAAGTTCTTCTGTCTGATGGGACTGTTTAACTGAACTAACTAACTGAGGTTTTTTTAAACCCTTCTATGACTTAAGTGACTTGTCTGTGTATGCAGCGTTTAGCCAGTTATTTTGCTAAGTGCATTAACTCCGCCCTAATTATCTCTTCATCTCCTTCAACAGACAACCAATGATACAAGACATCGTGATTGCCCTGAATCTCCTCGTGGCCGGCTGCCTGGCGGTTCATGGTGAGAATTAAACTTTTGCAAATTTTCATAATGCATGTACGGCCCCTCTTTCAAAGCAAGTGTAAGAGTTAAGCATGCGAACTCAAAATTTCCTATTCTGACAAGCGATTTGAATTAACTCGATATAATTTTAGGCTGTGAAGTCCATTTGCCGATCAGGTTTTTCAATGTCTGCATAGTTGAATGATCAAATATTATTTTCACCAGATCGGTCAGCAGAAACTTTTATTGAAGAAGGTGACACGATCGCCGGGAAAAGAGCTTTATTAGCCTGACGTTTCGGATTCCTACTCGAATCCATCATCAGAGACAAAAGAGCAGAAACGGGTGGTTGTTGCACAAGGGGCTGCGGTATTTATAGGATGCAGTAGCCATGCTACCGCATACCTATGAACGTTCACGGCTCCCCCCTTCATCCGGGATTGTCGCACTTGGTGTGATAATTGCTTGATGGCCGACATTCGAGTCGATAATAGCTGCAATTTCATCACGTGCGTTGGATGTTGGCGTGATGATTGCTCGACCATCTGACGCATCGACCCCGGTGTTGGGAAGAGTGTTCACATCTGCGCTCCCAGCATGGCATTTTAGTCAGCCTAGGCGAAGTTTTAGCACGGAGTATGAAGTGGGAAGATCGTTGCACTTGTTGATGGACTGGGGGCCAGTAAACCATGATTCCAGTAGCTCCCGGCTCACTCAGTTGTCACCTCTTGCGAGAATTTCGGCCTCATCGAATTTAAATGTGTGGCCGGATCTCACACATTTAAATTTGATGAGGCCGAAATTCTCGCAAGAGGTGACAACCGAGTGAGCCGGGAGCTACTGGAATCATGGTTTACTGGCCCCCAGTCCATCAACAAGTGCAACGATCTTCCCACTTCATACTCCGTGCTAAAACTTCGCCTAGGCTGACTAAAATGCCATGCTGGGAGCGCAGATGTGAACACTCTTCCCAACACCGGGGTCGATGCGTCAGATGGTCGAGCAATCATCACGCCAACATCCAACGCACGTGATGAAATTGCAGCTATTATCGACTCGAATGTCGGCCATCAAGCAATTATCACACCAAGTGCGACAATCCCGGATGAAGGGGGGAGCCGTGAACGTTCATAGGTATGCGGTAGCATGGCTACTGCATCCTATAAATACCGCAGCCCCTTGTGCAACAACCACCCGTTTCTGCTCTTTTGTCTCTGATGATGGATTCGAGTAGGAATCCGAAACGTCAGGCTAATAAAGCTCTTTTCCCGGCGATCGTGTCTCCTTCTTCAAGACTACTTCCTGGGACTCGGCTCTTCGCTTCTATTAGAAACGTTTATTTCAAAATATATGTTTTACTGCGTAGCCATCAAATACTTCTCGAAAAGACTCCCACACTTCAATCAGTAAGGTATATAAGTGAAGAAGAAGAGTCGAGCACCGGAACACTTCGTTTATTGTCCTGAGCTTTCAGACTTGTGCAGGAGTCCATCGTCATAGGTAGTAGCAGCAACAGAACAAGCGACAGTTATAAGGCATGTAGGTCAATCATCGACCGACGGCGCAAGACTGGGGTGACTACGCAGGACTCTGTACGCCGGCGTCAGATCGATAAATCGATTGACCAAGTACTCATCCGCGGCCCAGGCTTCAATTATTTCTCGGCCTGTTTTGTTTCCGGCGTGGGCAAATATTTTGGTGGCTACAAAATCAAACTCATGACCCTTTTCGTAGGTGTGAGCTGCCACTTGTGATAATGCGTCACCTCGTCGCACCGCCAGCTTATGTTCGTGTATGCACGATCCGAGCATGCTACTGTTTGGGAAAATGGGGCCTTAGTTACAGTGGGTGACCTAACTCATTAAATATGTCGAAATTTACGAATGATTGCTAATCACTCGCAAACCGACACCAATCCGTGGATCTAATATCTATGTTAATAAAGCACAACTTTAACATAATAAAAGGCACAAAATAAATAATAAAGGCAGTGTTACGTTCTTGAGAAATGCCAATCTTTTTAGAAAAGCGGAAAATCCCGAAAACGTCAAGAGTGGTTGCAATTGAGTAAATTTCATTTTTAAATTTTCGAAACGTCTACCCATGGAAAAAAGCTGAGTGAATATGAAAGCACAAATAGAATAACCGTTAGAAATAATGTTTAAGGGAAGTCTACATTTAAATATCCTTAACAACTTAGTGCAATTCCAGGTATGGGGTCTTGCTAGCAGCCTATATTCTGAGTATAGATTCCAAAACATTTTCCCGAGGATTCGTGATATCCTTTAGTTTTTTGAATTAAATGGGGTGCGGTTCAATAAAAAAGCAAGATTTTGCTGACAGGGACATCATAAGAACAAAAGTTTTTATAAATTCACATGCTGCCGGGCCGATTGGTACCAAATAATTTTAAATGGAATTGGCATTTGTAATCGTAAGCACACCATTTTGTTTTTAAAGAGGACTTTTCTTCCGTTAAAGTAATTAGCACTTTTCGTTTGTTCAGGATTATGCTGAGTTTCAGATCGACCTTTAATTATCGATGAGTATTTCGCGATTTTGAGTGTTTTCATCCGATCGCCCATAAAGACAAATTCTGTATTATGTGTCTGTTAAAAACTGTAGGACAAGGTACCTTTTTAAGGCATTTACCGAAGTGGCAAGTGCTTGGGATTTAATTTTCATTTAGAACGTTTTCTGGGTCACATCTGAAGACTCACACAAGCAGAAACCCTTATCGTTGAATAAAACTGACGTCGACAACGAAAGTCAACAATGAATACGCCTTAGATCAATTTGATAACTTTCTCTAAGAAATTACCTCTATGAGGAGTGCCTTCATGCTGCATTCCGTTGACGGATGTCTGAGTACTTTAATTTTTACAGTGTGAGGCCAGGAAAACATTTTACGCTTTATGCCGTTTCATTCGCTCTGCTAAGAGATACCGATATTTTTTAACCGCAAACGTGCGAAAATGCCTTTATAATTGTATTGCGGCCACTTGAATTGCTTTTGCTTAAATTGAGAACCCGTTCTACGATTATGAATGCACGGCAAAGTGGCTATATATACGCTGATATTTTGCTGAAGATGTTAACGTTTTGCTAGTTCCGATTCTGACTTAGGTTTGTACAGAAGCTAGACTGCACAAAACGCTGTATTTAATATGTTCAAAGCTACAAATGACAGCTCGGTGGTGGTCGTTCCTGTGAAAAACGTAGGATTTTCCAAACGGAAAAATACATTTGCCTGCGTGCGTTGTTACTGCACGTTAGGGCACAAAATCGTACAGATCTACTTAACTGAATTCTTTAAACCGAAAAAACATCCGGCTCTCTTAAAATAACCTCTGTTTTGGGAAGTTTATTACTACGGATACCATCGGACAAAAAATTAATTTTCAAGTCCGGCAACCTCTGTTTATTAAAACTGTCTGGAGTAAATTACTCTCCTTCCGAGTAAAAACCCACTCAGATAGGCAATCAAAGTCCATAACAGTTATTAGCATAGGAAGTGGCCTGAATATTCCACGACGTTCCTTTTAGACCAAATTTATGAACATTTTGCTTGAAAACATTACGTGGGCACAATAAATATACAAGATGAGGACATTTCCTAAAGGTATCTGAGCGGGCAAGCAAAATGCGCAACGTTTAAGACGTCCTTAATTCTCCTATCAGATTCTGTCACCAGGTTTCATGAGATAGGTCACGTACTGTATATACTTTTTAGTCGAACGCAACCTTTTTAGTCGATGGGTAACCTCGACAAATATTCATTTCAACACGTTCTCCATCCCCAGAAGGCGAGAAATTCAATGTGGACTTTTGCTGCAATGTTTCCCGGTAGGAATGTGAAACAGGCATAACGGTAGAGTTTAGATCTATCACGAAACGCCTCCTAGATAGCATTCACTCCTTTGACCCCAAAACGTCCTTCCGAGTGTTAGCACGTGCACGAACAACTCGGATATTGCGCTACTTGGAGGCAACCTACATATGGCAGGAGAAACCCGACCTGCGACCACGTGGTCAGTCTCAGCTTGCGCTAGTTAATCGCAGCTCTTTGAATTACACACCCCCTCTGTGTGTTAACTTTCCCATTTTCTTTCCTAAATTGCATTTTCAAGTCGCCATTTTTATCGATTAGCATGCATACATTAAGATGAACTAACTGTTTTGTATTGATTTTTCCTGTGGAAATTAATATCTCTGTATTTTTCATTCGTTACCTCTGTTATGCAGCGACAAGTGGCAGTTGATAAGTCGTCGCGAAATTTGTTGGTTCCGATAAATTCTGCTGGTATGTCTGTTTTAAATTCGTACCGGGAAATATTGTTTTAAAAGTTCCACATTAGATTTTTTGCCTTCTAAGAGTGGAGAACTTATAAAAATTCATATTTGCCGTAAGTAGTAATGCTGTGTTCTGCAAACAACTCGAAAATGTTAGTTTTTGCGAGGTTGTCCACGAAATCTTCTCCTTTTTATTTGGCTAAAAAGCAAGCAACTATAGTCCAATTTACTCAAATAGTAGTATGCTGGGATCGCTCATACACTAGCATAAGCTGTCTGTGCGATGAGGCGACGCATTATCACAAGTTGTTGTCCACGTTTCATTGGAGGATGTGGATGGGCGAACAAACCGCGCAACGTTAAAGATGTCCAGATATTTTCGCCTCAGTTTCTGTTATCAGATTTCATGAGATGGGTCACGTACTGTACAGTGCGTAAAGTATCTCATGAAATGTTTGCTGAAATTCTGAAATGCGTTTTCGAATAGGAAGGATTACTTGGTCGCGGTTGTGAAACTGATTATCTTAAGGCATACTCTTATAACATTCTAGACTCGGCAGGATGTCGGCTTTTAAATGCACTTCTTTTCAATCTCCTGTAGAAAGCGTGCTCTGTAAAAAATGACTACTTATGTAGCATGCATTTTTCCCATTGATTTTCGATGGTTTAGGAAATTCTAATATATTTTATAGAAATCACAAACAAAAATGTACTTTCTTTTAGTCAACCAATAGAGAATCACGTCTTCTTTATATTTTATACTTAAGGAAGGAGTATAATTAGGTTTTAAAAAAGTTTCTTATTATGAGACTTTTTAAGACCGCGATATGTCCATTCACATAGCATCGTACCTGGCCGTTTACCACTGCTCCTCATGAAATTTACAACATGGTCCGCATTCATTGCAATATTTTATGGACCCTGTATGATATCTCTTTAATGACATAGAAAAATATTGGATTTTCTTTACGCGGGACGCATGCAGCTTGTAGAGTGTAATCACTAAGCGCTAATGCAACGAATGATCAGGCTCCAAATTTTTCGGCAATTAGAAAACTTTTTCAAAACCTAATTATATTTCTTCCTTAAGTATAAAATATAAAGAAGACGTGATTCTCTATTGGTTGACTAAAAGAAAGTACATTTTTGTTTGTGATTTCTATAAAATATATTAGAATTTCCTAAACCATCGAAAATCAATGGGAAAAATGCATGCTACATAAGTAGTCATTTTTTACCGAGCACGCTTTCTACAGGAGATTGAAAAGAAGTGCATTTAAAAGCCGACATCCTGCCGAGTCCAAAATGTTATGAGAGTATGCCTTAAGATAATCAGTATCACAACCGCAACCAAGTAATCCTTCCTAATCGAAAACGCATTTCAGAATTTCAGCCAACATTTCATGAGATGGGTCACGTACTGTATGTGCTCATTGATACGGCGTCAGCATACAGGACCCTCCCCAGTCACCTCCAGATCTAAGTCACTGATTGCTGATGGGCTAAAACCCTCTTCAACTGTCGCATCTCACGTTGCTGACTGTGGACTCCTGCGCGAGGCCGAAAACTCAGAGCAATAAGCAATTTTTTTCGATGCTCCATCAACTTTTCTTCACTTAAACCTACACCTGGGACCGAAACTTTTGCCCGCATTCGTGAACTTAACACCTCTTTCGGCAAACCTTCCAAACACCATTTGCGTCTACATATTTCAAATATCAGCGAAGATTTAACCCGCACCTCTCCTCCATTCTCTTGCCTCGTCTTTATAGACCCACACTGGTCCTACACAAAGAGCCAATCCAACTTCAACAACTGGGCCGCTATTAGCCCTAGAATGTGTTCGGGATCGCTCCAATCACCGATCGCTCTGGACTCCAATGCTGCCACCTACTTGGGCAAGGCTACCGGAGCGGTTGTCGACATTTCCTTTAGCAAATCAGTTAACTCGGGGACCTTCACGGCTACAAACAATGGACATTCCTGTAAGCTGGATACTCCTGTTCAGAAGCCCCCCTCTCTGCAATATTTTTGACTTTCCACGGCTTTCTGTGCTTCAGAATGTACCCTAAGTTTTAACGCAGATCCAAAAAATGATTGTCACGTATACTTCTACTAAATACAGTGAGTGACGATCTCATGAAATGTTGGCCAAAATTCTGAAATGCGTTTTCGATTAGGAAGGACTACTTGGGCGCGGTTGTAATACTGATTATCTTAAGACATACTCCTATGATATTTTGGACTGGGCAGGATGTCGGCTTTTAAATGCACTTCTTTTCAATCTCCTGTAGAAAGCGTGCTTGGTAAAAAATGACTACTTAAGTGGCATGCATTTTTCCCATTGATTTTCGATGTTCTTACAGATTCAGCTATATCCTATAGAAACCATGAACGAAAATATGCATTGTTGAGTCATTTGATAGGAATAGCGACTTCTTTATATTTTATACTCAAGAAAGGAGTATAATTAGGTTTTAAAAGTTTTCTTACTGTCGAATTATTTGGAGCCTAATCATTCGTTGCATTAGCGTTTAGTGATTTCCGCCTACAAGGTGCATGCCTTCCGCGTAAGGAAGATCATATATTCTTCTATGCCTTTAAAAAGATATCAAAATGAGTCCATAAAATTTTACAATGGATGCGGACTATGTTGTACATTTCATGAGGTGCAGTGCTAAGCGAACAGGTACGATGCTATGTGAAAGGACATTGCGCGGTCTTAAAAAATCTTATAAGTAGAAACTTTTTAAAACCTAATTATAGTCCTTCCTTGAGTATAAAATCTAAAGAAGACGTAATTCTCTATCAAACGACCAAAAAAGCATATTTTATTTTGTGGTTTATATAAAATATATTTTAATTTGCTAGGCCATCGACAATTAATGAGAAAATGCATGCTACGTAAAAAGTCATTTTTTACCGAATACGGTTTGTACAGAAGATTAAAATGTAAAACATTCAAAAGCAGACATGCTGCCAAGTCTGAAATATAGTAGAACTATGTCCCATAATAATGAATGTTTCAACACCACCTAAGTAAACCTTCGAAAACACATTTAAGAATTTGAGCCAACATTTCCTGAGTTCGGTCACCCACTGTAGATCTTGCTTCGTTATCCCTTAAAGCGCGCTGCATTCGTCTATCTCCATTTAATACAGTGGAAGTCGGAATCCCCCCGGGAACATGGACGGTGACATTGAATAATAAGGCCAAGGACTTCCACAACATTGATCAATTGCATTTTCACTGGGGAGGTGGGAATCGTAGGGGCTCGGAACACACTTTGGACGGCAGGTCGTTCCCGCTAGAGGTATGTTCACGAAGAAGTGTATGTTTTGTGAATGTATATTTACTCGAATACTTACTAATTGATTCGATGTAGGTATCAGTCCGATGGAAATTTGCATGCATGCTCAGACTGATCAGATGAAAACTTGGAAATCAGTCACGCACAAATCTGCTGCTCCTTTAAACGAAGTTTTAAGAAGGGGAATTAACTTTTCTATGGGAAATGACTGACAACTGCAGACTATGAGAGGTTTTAATCCCAACTATATTTCCTCAGGAGAAACTTGTATGCGATACAGTATTGTAAAAGTCTTTTGGAGCGAGGTAACATCGGCTACATTAGGTCCTGTGGGTTCAGGCGCATGACTGTGCCACACTCAAGATGCCAGTGAAAAGGCGAGGAGGTCAGCAGTCGCATCTTTGCCGATGGCCTCATTTCAGAATGTTCCAGAACATGGCATGGTTTACATTTTGCTAAATGCACTCATTTAAAAGAGCCATCCGGCACTCTCTCCATTCACAGATGCACATTGTCGCCTACGCCTCGATATACGCCAATTTCTCAGCTGCACAATCGGCCCCAGGAGGTCTGGCTGTGATTGGCGTCTTCTTTCAACTGACCACTGATCAATCCAAATCCAACCTATCAAAAATGGGCAACCTCTTATCAGTTATCAGCCAGCTCAATAAAGCGGGTTCAACAGTCAGAGTGAATTCGTTCGATCCGAAAGTTCTGCTACCTGCGAACAGGGATGAGTTCTTCCGCTACCACGGTTCTCTCACCACGCCACCCTGCACGGAGAACGTCCAGTGAACAGTGATGAGAAATCCCCTCTTCGTGACTAATCAGGATGCAAGTTTGCACCCCGTCTCCCTCCTTCTGTTTCTGGTCGTGTTTCGTTTAAATAAGACTGGGCCTCAAGCTCAAGATAGATTGTGGAGCAGATGTCATACAGTTTCCGTGTACAGAAAAGCATACATTTCTCTATGATATTAAGAGGAGACCATTTGGGGCTCATACACTTTAGCAGTGGATTTGAGGCATACTGCAAACTTTACGAGCAGCATTGGTAAATGCAGAGACATAACGTTTTACGAACGGCATGTTTTCTATGGAATATAATTAAATTTTTAAAGGCGTCGAAAATCAGTTAGAAAAATGCATGCTACGCAAGTAGTCATTATTTACACAGTGTGATGTTTGCATGCAGCTGGAAAGGAGTTCTTTCGAACGCCGGCATCTTGAGGTAACTGAATTATTATAGAATTGTAGTGCATTTTGATTGAGATTACAATCCCACTTAAGTAGTTGTTTGGAAAAGAAAACGCATTACAGAATTTCGGTTAAAATTTCATGAGTTAGCACACCTACTGTAGGATTAGCTGACTGATGCTGGTTACGCGACAGTAAGGATCAGGAAATCTGTTGTAGCACATGAAATGAGAGAGCAAAGTGGTTCATCTGAAGAGGTTTATTGAAGTACTAGTGCTTATTTATCATGGCTTCCCCGCATCCCTGTAAAAGCGCAAAAATTCGACTTACAGTGTCCTCAAGAAGTTAAGTGTCTACGTACTTCCATTGTCTGCCATTTGTAAGACGGTTTCGAGAACTGCATTGACACCGGGGAACGAGGGCTTCAGGGTACAAAGGACGCGAACAAGGAATGCTCCTACCGACCACGGGTTTGAAGTCAGTATGGTTTAGAGCGTGGGTGGATCCAATGACCAATCGTCAGCGCGGGGTTCAATAAGTGCAGCTTTTTATAAATGAGTTCGTACATCCACAGACAGAGGGTTTATTAATTGCAGTTTGTGGTCTGGCACCTTGTCATTTTGAGCCATCGGCAGACGTAGTGATATGAAGACAAATTCGAAAGTCAAAATTTGTGGCTATCAATGAGATGAGTTCATAGTCATTACTGTTAGGGCAAAGTAACCGGCTTGCGTGAGATAACTGAATTTGACGCAACCAGATGGAATCGGGCCCAAATGGCTTCGCCCGCCTACGAGCATAATCAAGCATTCTGACCCACGCTGCGCACGCGAACACTATTCACAGACACTAGCTCCACAACGTGCTCCCTGAGTCTATATGTCTTTTACATGAAAAATCCTAGTTAGCATGAGCAAAATACAGGTCCACCCATTTAGTCCAAAACAGCTGTTGAGGAATCAGAAGAAGTAGACCGTTTTCGGCGATAGGAAGCCCAGCACTCCTGCGTTTTTGTCCACTAGATTACAGGTTCCTTTCTAGTGACAGACGGTCAGTACTCTAAGATATTTGTGTAATGCGGAGGATTAACTACTGAACCAATCTTTTTTCCATGATCTGAACGGGTAGTTGGAGCTCTTGCGATCCCTCCGGTTTGGAGTTAGTGATGACGGGAAGCCGATGCAGGATAACATTCGCCCGGTACAACCCCTAAATCCAGCTCGAACAGCGCAACCCCGAGTGGTGTACAAATCGTGGTCTTCAGCCTCGCATCCTCCTCCTCCTCTTCGTATCCACCCTGAGCTTCAAGCACCTTAGATATTTCCGTTTAAAATAACGAAATTTCTCATTGGACTTCTCTGATTCTCCTAGTCTTTGGGTTCGCGGATTAACTTCCCCCGAATAATTTATTTGAAGGTAATTAAATCTAGAAGACAAACAAGGAATGCTGGGGGACCCAGTCATGGACCGAACCCCTCTCAGCTGTGTCATGTAACAGCAGAATATCGGCGAAACACGCTTGTATGGGCTTTTGGCCAGTATATGAACTCTTAGTGTGGTAACTTCTTACCTTTAAACAAGAAGCTTATTGGCCTGACGTTTCGGATTCTCACTCCAACCCATCATGAGAAACAGTCGAAGTTGGATCGTCTGTTGTAGACAGTCTGGTGCACTATCTACAATGAGTGAGCTATTCTCCTCTGACATTTGCCTGATTACTCAGCTTTTTACGCAAAGTTGCCGCCGCACCGGCGACTGCCTGCAAACTTGCAGTCCAAGTAGTAGACAGCGGGGACTTTAGATAAACACCGACGCACAGTTTCCCTCAAATAAACCGCCAAAATACTAACTGTAAGCCGATCTGCTCTAAATTTGTTTTCGTGGGTTTGCTGAGGTCTAGATCGTACGCCAACTGCGTGGGAAGAATTCGCTGTGTGGATTAAAAAAAAACAGGCATTTGCAGATCTCGCGAAATTTGTTGCGACAAAGTTTGCTTATGGCACGATACGGCTAAGAAGATTGTAAACCTTGCGCACATTTTCTGCATAAAGTTCGTCCTGATTATAAGTGGAAAGCGTCTGAAGATCGGGAAGGATTCAGCCTGGACTTTTACTCTTACCACAACATTCAGAGGAACAAACCACACCTAACCCGCGTGATCAACAATGGCCTTGATAATGCTCTAAATTTCAGAATGGTATTACCGGCAAAGACAAGGGAGACTGGAATGGCCATTTCTGGCTTATTAGCCGTCGTCAGCCAGCCATACCCAAGCCCGAAGTGTGGAACACCCGAGCCTCGAACTCGCGACCTGTTGATTTAGAAGTCCACGCCTCTACCCACCGGGTCACGAGCCCGTTACTCTGTCCGTTTTCGATCGGGAATAAACAATGGTAGGGGGCGCTCACCGATCGTTCATACGGAAGTCAATCGTCCCGTTGTGCCTTAAGGGCCCCCGCTCGATCCCAACCAGCAGCCGCACAGCGGCGCATGATATAGGCGGAGTGTTATTACCGACAAAGACAAGGGAGACTGAAATGGCTGTGAATTTCGTCTTTGCTCAAGCATGCTGTAAGGTGTTTCTGCATTCTCATGGCTAGGCGCCTGTTCTTGCGATCAAAATAGCCTGCTCCACATGACCACACAAGGACAGCTTGTCATGTCGTCTGATTTGGGAAATGTGCAACTCTCCCTGTAATGGGATAGCTAAGTGATTAGCAGAGGAACTCAAGCCCGTACAGTGTCAACTAAAATCCCGTGGCTACCGTGATACCTTTAAATTGATTGACAACATCCGTTTTCTGAACCTAATAGGAGTGGTGGTGTTTTGGTTAGACTTCTCATCACTGTTCACAAAACGTCTTGTTCACAGAGACAGCCGAGTACATCTACGAATTCCTGCCGGCCAATCAGTCAAAAGGGAAAATACCGACGAACGCACTCAAGGAACTAATACTAAGACGCACACTAAATGTGAAGTTGCTTTTCGGCAACCACCGATATAGACACATACATTCGATGTGCTAACTCATGAAATGTCAACCAAAATTTCGAAATGCGTTCTCGTTTCGAAAAGATAAATTAAGTAGTGTTATAAAACTAACCATGATGCAGCATAAATCTATAATGATCCAGTTACTTCAGGGGATCGGCTTTCGAAAGAATATATTTTCGGCTACAAGCAAAATCTATACTCTGCAAAAAATGACTACTTAAGTAGCATGCAATTTTCTCATTGATTTTCGATGTCCTTGAAAATACAATTACATTTCATGGAAAACATGCATAAAAATATTCATTATTCTACTTATTCGGTAGAAAATCAGGTCTTCTTCCAATTTCATACTCAAAAGAAGAGTATAATTCGGTTTTTAAAAAGTTTCCAATTGTGAGATTTTTTATACCGTTAAATGGCCGTTCATGAAACGTCATGTATCTGCAGTTACGAATGTGGCTTGAAAATTTAACAATAGTGCATGCATTTCTCTACGGTGTTAAGAGGAGACTATATGATGTTCATGAAATTAAGCAGTGGCTTTGAACAATATTTTTAAATTTACAAGCCACATTCGCAAATGCAGATACATGACGTTTCGTGAACGGCCGTTTAACGGTATAAAAAATCTCGCAATGAGAAACTTTTTTAAAATCGCATTATACTCTTCTTTTGATTATGAAATTGGAAGAAGACGTGATTTTCTACCGAATAAGTAGAATAATGAATATTTTTATGCATGTTTTCCATGAAATGTAATTGAATTTTCAAGGGCATCGAAAATCAATGAGAAAATTGCATGCTACTTAAGTAGTCATTTTTTGCAGAGTATAGATTTTGCTTGCAGCCGAAAATAATTTCTTTCGAAAGCCGACCCCCTGAAGTAATTGGATCATTATAGGTTTATGCTGCATCATGGTTAGTTTTATAACACTACTTAATTTATCTTTTCGAAACGAGAACGCATTTCGAAATTTTGGTTGACATTTCATGAGTTAGCACATCTACTGCAGGCGACGGTGATACGGGCTCGCCTCTAGTTCCTCTCCTAGACGACGACTTTATAGTCCATCCGGAGAAATTTCAAGCAAACGACCAGATCAGTGGGCAGAATCATTAAGGTCACCATGTTGATGACATCTTCCCTGTCTCTACTGCAGAAACCAAGAAAATTGCCCTCCAAAATGCTGGAAAGCAGACACATCCGTCGGCCAAGTTTCGTTTGAAAGAGGAAACTGCAGGTTCTCTCCCCTTCTTAGACGTCCCTGTGTGCAGAACAGCTAATGATAGTGTTTGAAGGAGCTTCCGGCTGCATGCAAAAACTACACTCTCTAAAAAATGACTACTTATGTAGCATGAACTTTTCTCATTGATTTTCCATGACTCTAAAAGTCCAATTGTATTTCATGGAAAACCTGTATACAAATATTCATTCTTTCGCTCATTCAGTAGAAAATTATGGTTTCTTCCAAACTCATGCTTGCAGGAAGGTTATCAAAAAGTTTCTAATTGTGGGACTTTAAAATACCTTGAAATAGTCGTTCATAAATCGTCGAGTGGGCCCGTAAGGCACAAGGGAACGGTTGAGTTCCGTAAGAACGGTCGG